CAACCTGGGCTGGTGATCTGTTTCACCTTAGATAATATACATGTTTCGATGCTGTTCTCTTGAAACATCCCACCCTCGCCTTCTCCCAGAGTCCACAAGTCTGTTCTATACATCTGAGTCTCTTTTTCTGTTTTGCATATAGGGTTATCCTTACCATCTTTCTAAATTCCATATATATGTGTTAGTATACAGATAAACAATTTTAAAAGATTTAGTTTAAGTTTGTCTCATGTAAAATTACAGACTTATCTTAAAAATTTAACTGGACATCCTGTCTTTTATTAATACCTGGCAACCGTCGCTGAGATTCAAACAGTTCTGTCCATTATTTCTCAGATACGCCTTTACTTTATATATAATACTTCATGTATATTATACTTTTACATATAATACAGCAGAAGATAAGTGATTATGACCATCAGCCAATGCCAAAGCAGTGCTTTGCCCCTCCTATTTCACTGGAAACCCTATCATCCTCACACCACCCCATCCAACAGGTACAATTACTGTTTCCATATTCTGGATGAGGAAACTAAGTCTCAGTGAGATGCAATAACTTGACCACAGTCCACGGCCAGAAAGTACCAGAGCTCAGATTTGAAATTGTTACTGTCTTGCCTGAGAATAGTCACTTAAGAAACAGCCTTTTCAAAAGTTGAGTTAATACACATGTGGAAAAGTGCTCAATATAGAAACATAAGTTTCAATGGCATGTTGCAAACACCTGTGTAGATACCAACCAGGTCCAGGAAGAAAATATGTCCAGCGCTTCAGAAGCCCCACGTGCTCCCTCCCAGTTGCAATGCTCATCCTCCTCCTCAGAGATTCCGTCACTCTGGCCTCCAGCCTCCAGCTGAGTTTGCCTGCCTCCTAACGTGATGTAAGGGAAACCTTTACAGGAAGTTCCCCCTGGTGTTTCACTTCTATTGTTCAACACCGTGCTTGTTGGATTTACCCTGTGGTGGTGTGTATCTGGAATCTGGTCCTTTTCATTGCTGTATAGTGTTCCACCAGCTGATTATACATAGTGAACCCATGCTATTGTTGGTAAATTTTACGTTGTTTGAGATTAGTTTAAAATGTGATTTTTTTTTTTGTATTGAAGTACAGTCCATTTACAATGCTGTTATTTTCTGATGTATAGCAAAATGTTTCAGTTATGCACATATAATATATATATATTCTTTTTCATATTTTTTTCATTATAATTTATCACAGGATATTGAACATAGTTCTCCGTGCTGTCCAATAGGACCTTGTTGTTTATCCATTCTATTTATAATAGTTTGCATCTGCTAATCCCAAACTCTCAACCCTTCCCTCCCCACACCTGCCTTGGCAACTACAAGTCTGTTCTCTATGTCTGTGAGTCTGTTTGTGTTTTGTAGGTATGTTCATTGGTGTGGTTAAAATGTGCTGTTATAAGCAACAAGAATGTCTGCTGTGAACATTCTCATGCACGCCTCTTGGTGGACACAAGCATTCATTTCTGTTGGATATGTACCTAAAAGAGGAAATGCTAGCCAGAAAGGGATGTATATTCAGATTGCGTAGATATACCACACAGTTTTTCAAAATGTTTATACCAATTTACACTCCTAACAGCAGCACATTCAATTTTCAGTTGCTCCACATTCTCACCAGCACTTGGGATTGTCAATTTTTGTAATTTTGGTGTAATGGTATCTCCTTGCAGTTTTAATAGGCATGCCCCTGATTTCTAATTAGGTTGAGCACCTTTTAATGAGTTTATTGGCTCTCTGAACATTTTCTTTTGTGAAGCCTCTGTCCCAGTTTCTTGAGCATTTGATTTGGCTGTCTGTCTTTTACTTATTGATTTGTGGGAAGATTTTTAATAAGTTCTGGATAGGAGCCCAGAGTTCTGGGTGTTGGAAATATCTGTTCCCATTCTATGCCTTGACTCACGCACTTAAATGGTGTTTATTAGTGGAGTTCTTATGATTTTAATATATGAAATGTATCAGTATTTTCCTTTTTGAATAGTGCTTCTTAAACAAGAAGTCTTCTCCTACCCCCAAGGTTATAAAGGTTGCTATAGGCTTCTGGAAGCTTTGTTATTGTGCCTTTCACACTTAGATCTACAGCTCAACTGGCATTTATTTCTGCATATGGTGTGAGGTAGACAGATTGGAAAAGTCAACACTGTGATGATGGCAAATCTCTTCAGATTGATCTGTAGACTCTATGTCATCTCAGTTCAAACCCAGCAAGTATTTGTCACTGTCATATGAGAGACCTGATAAACTAATTCTAAAATTGATAGGTAAATTCAAAAGGCCAAGAATATCCAAGATGATATTGCAGATATAATGATAAAAGAATGTGTTTTATTGATATCAAGATTATTATAAAGCTATAGTAACTGAGACTATGCAATACTGACATAAACACAACCAAATTGACCAATGGAACCAAATGAAAAGCCCTGAACCGGCCTACACGCATGTGGGGAACATATGTTTTGCGACTCTGGACCCACAGGGCAGTGGGGGAAAGACAGTTCTTTCAATACATTGTGAGGGGTTATCCATATGGGGAAAAACAAACTTGTCTCCAGGGCTCCCACTTTTCAACACTGCACAAGGCCAGGGGACTCTGTTCTTATATGCTTGTATGATGATGGCAGTGATGGTTGTAACATCACCGTTATATATTACAATTTTGCCACTCTTAAAGTGCTTTCCAATCTGTTATTTTCCCCAAACCCTAAGAAGTAGGCAGGGAAGACATTATTAGTCCTTTCATGGATGATGAGGCGGTGACTCCAAGGGACGAGTGACCAACCCAAGGACACTTGCCTAACCCTTGAGCTTTGCCTGCGGCTCCTTCCACTTTGTGAGAAGCCCAGTGCTCCTTCCTGAGGGGCATGACGAGGGGCAGGGAGAAGTGGGCTTTGGTGGAGGTGGACTGGAAATGGCTAGAGGTCAGTCACACACTTCTCAGACCCTGCAGTGGGCTCCTTGACCAGGTGTCAGTCCCCGATCGCTCCCTGGAGGACAGTTGTCCCCGGGATAGAGCAAGAGGGCTGTGAGTTGTGTTGGAAAGAGGGTGGCCTGGGAAAGGCATGGAGGGTCTGTCATTTGTAATCATGCTGGAGACTGGGGTGGGGTGGGCGGATGAGCTGGGGTTCTAATTCCAGCTCTGCCATGAATTTGCTGTGTGCCTCTGAACAACTGACCTCACCTTTCTGGGCCTCAGTTTTCTTAGTCTCCATTGTTAAATGAACCATCTTTCCAGTCTTTCATCTTTAAATGAACCAACTCCAAGATGTATCCCTTAAGTTGTTTGTAAAGAATTAACAGAAATGGTGCCTGTTGCTTAGTAAGGACTCAGCGATTCTCAGCAATCGGTGTTGGTGTTATTCAGATCACTTCTTTCTAATAAAAAGCAGCAGCCGCCATTGATCAAGGATTTACCTGTCTTTTTCTCTTGTGAAACTGGGGGCTCAGCCTTAGCAAAGGATTTATGAGTTGCATTTGCCAAGCCCTTCCCCATCTCCTGATACAGAATGGATGATTCTACATGCTTTTACATGTAGGTATAGAAAAAAGACTGGAAGGAACTACATCACGATGTTAAAAATCATCATCTCTGGGTGATAAGAATGGTGTTGATTTGCTTTTTTTCTTCTTAATTAGTATTTTCTGAATTACGTACATTAGATGAGAATTAATTTTATAGTTGGGAAAACAATTGCTCTGATATGGAAGAAATGCAGATATGAATTCTTCTTGTTAGTTTAAATGAAGAAGAGTCTGCAAAGGGCCACTTTAAAGCCTCTCCTTGAGTTCCAAGCTTAAACAGACAATGGTTTTGGAGTCAGAAATTCCAGGGTACCAACCCCCAGCTCTGCTCCTTTCTAGCTGTGCTAAGCTAGCTGAGTCTCTTAACCTCTGTTGGCCCCAGTTCTCTCATCTGAAAAATGAAAATGAAACTAGCAGCCTTCGGGGCTTGTTTTCAAGGACTTGATAAGATATGTTTGAAACTACATGGCCATGTTTCTGGCACTTAGGAGGCACTCACTCAGTGGTGACCTTTCCATTAGGAGGGCTCCTTTCCCAGAGTTTCACTGGAGATCCTTTGAAGATGGGCATTACCTACCATCTCACTTTACGGAGGAGGATACAGAGGTTCAGGGTGGAAAGTTGTCCAAGGTCACAGAGCTGTGAAGGGAAATTCTGAAACAGGCTCAGAGAGGGTGAGTGATCAGACAAAGGTCGCACAGCTTAAACTTGCTGCCTGCGTAGTTTGTAAAACAACAAACTAAACACCCTCCCCCACCCCCCAAAACCCCAGAGTGCCCTTTATTGGGGGGTTACCATTACTGAGGCACCGTGGCAAGCCTCCTGAACAAAACCAGCGGCAGCAACAACAAATCCGCTGCCATTTATCAGTGCTTACGCAATGCCAGGGATCTTGGCACTTCCCACAATCATCTCAGTTAATTCTCCAGACAATTCTATGACGTGCGTCTTTCGAGCCCATTTTACGGATGGGGAAACTGAGGCTTAGAGGCCGAGGCCCTTCCCCAGGGCCCCAGCAGGCCTGGCACCGGGTCTGCCCAGCTCCCCGGCAGGCTGCGGGAGGGCCAGGTGGCATGCAAGGAGTTAAGCGGTAGGCAGTGCTGTGGCTCCGCGCGAGGAGGGCGCCGGGCTGAGGCGTGCTGCTGGCGGCGGCGGCGGCGGCGGCAGCGGCGCTGGGAGCTCGGGCTCCGGAGACGTGAAGTCCCGGGGAGCGAGCAAGGCAGGAAGGGAGGCAGCGAGAGAGAGAGGGAGGCGAGGCGGCCGGAGCCCCGCGCCCAGCCGCAGCCCGCGCCCGGCGCGCAGCGGGCCTGGGCATCCCGGGGCGGGTGCCTGCGCGGGGCCTCGCCGTGGCGCGGGGCACCCGCAGTGCCGCCCGCCCGCCGGCCCGCCCGAGCGCCAGGCTCGCAGGAGCCCGGTTTGCACTTCCTCTCGCCTCCGCCCGCCTCTCCGGCTCACCGGCTGGCGTCGCCACCGCCTCCTTGTCCCCGGCCACCGCTGTCGCCGCTGCTGCAATCCAGGACGCACACTCTTCCACTTTCCCGCTGGAGGTGCGGAGGATGCCCCTTGCACCAGACCCGGAGAAATAGCCCCCCGGGCCCGCCGGGAGGAGACTGGGCGGCGAGAAAGAAAATCCAGTCTCCCTTTCCTGGATGCCACTGCAGCAGCTGGCAGCTGGGAAGGCGCCCAGAGCGGGTGCGCCAAGCTGGGACGCCGGAGTCGCAGAGAGAGAGAGACCCCGGGCGCTGGCTGGGCACCGTTGGCAGAGTTTGCAAGTGACTGAGACCCTCAGGTAAGGGCTAAGGGGCCTGGTCCTGCTAGCAGGGGGGCCTTAGGGAGAGGGCGCAGAGCTGCTGCAAAGGACAGCTGTCCCCCAGCTGGGCTGCCGACTCCAGATGCTGCCTGGAGCCTGGGGTTCAGTGTCCAGAGCCAGGTGAGTAAAGAACCCCGAGTAGTGACAGCCCGGTTCTGGGTGGATGACAAACTTTCTCTCCTCCTGCAAAGGGGTGGACGTGCCGGCTTATCCCGCGTCCTTCCTCCAGCCATCCCCTGGGGTTCCCAAGGCAGGACGTCCAAGGCTACTCAGATGACCTGGGCCGGGGGAAAGGCAGTGGGCCCCTTTCATTTGATTCATGAATCACCCCTCTTCTTGGCCAGTTAGAGTTCTGAGGGAGAAGGAGCTGGATGTATTTTCAAGTTGACTTTACAGGGTTCTTATTGGGGGTGATACTCTGGTAAACGAGATTCCCCATCATCTGGAGAAGAAGCCAGGGCTGCCTGGGTGATGGATTCTGTGTAGAGTGCTTTGCAGTCTTGCTTATGTCCGTTCTGGTGCGTGCGTGCGTGCGTGCGTGCGTGTGTGCGTGTGTGTGTGTGTGTGTGTAGAGGGAAGCAGGGGGACCCTTCCAGCCAGATCGCCCCTATCCAAGCCCTTCCAGCAGCCCCAAGTGTCATCGCCAGAGCCGAATCACCTCACTGGCAGAGATGCTAGAAGCAGTGGGGATTAGCTCCCGTCCCTTGCAGCTCCTTAGATGAGCTAAAGATTTGGGAGAAGTTTCCTGAGCTGCTCAATGAGACCATTCAGATTGGAGCCTGGCGAGGTGCAAACTTCAGTAGAAAAGAGGTTGGAATGGACATTTGGATGGGGACTCTTGGCACTGTCACCCTCAGCTCTGAGGCTGTGGGTGGTCTGTCACACCCTAGGCCCCTCGAGGCTCTGCAGACCCCAGCATGTAGCTCATGAGTTTGGCCAGATCATTTTGTTCCTCTTAAGGAAAAACATGCTCCAAAGAGGCCACCTGGTCTCCAGGGGTCATTTTGGAGCCATCCCTGTTGTCACAGCCCCCAAAATGGAGTCTTGCTTCCCTCCCTGGGGTTCCAGCCTAGGGCCGGGGGTCATCTCTATGAACTAGTTGGTCCATGAGGCAGGCAGTGGAGGTGCTTCTGTTCGTGACCTAACGGATATATTCCTCTGGCCCTGTGGTCAGACCTGGTGTCTGCCTCTAGGGAACGACGTTGCTGCGTGGTTCCTGGACAGTGCTTGAGACACGAGGTGGGAGTCTGAGAACCTCCTGCCATTGCTTGGGATTCTGTCCTGGGGCCAGGCAGGCTCCGAGCTGTTTCTCTAGGCTGCCAGGACCCGGGGATGCTTCGAGGGGGTCAGAGGCTGGCATTTGACGTCCTGGGGAAACGCCGTCTTCAGGTCAAGAGGTTGAACGTCAAGTCGGCTGTCAATTTGCTGTGTGAGTTTGGGCAAATCACTCAGCCTCTCTGAGCTCCAGTTGATGCTTCTGTAAAAAGGAAGAGATTTCCTGTATCCTCAGAGGTCCCCGTTCAGACATTCTTATAGCCCTGAGTAATTGTCAGAGATGAAATCCTCCAAATCCCAGGAGGCGGTGTAACATAGTGTGTAAGAGCTCTAGGACTGAGACACATCTGAGTCTGACCAATCACTTCACCCTCTGAACCTCGGTCCCTCCACAGTCAAATGAGGAGCTGATAACAGACACGGTGCGTGGGAAGTGCTTGGTGTACCTGGTGAGGCTGGAGCTGCCCGAATGCAGCAGCAGGGCTGTCTGTTTTGAGTCTTGTGCATGGGCATCGGGGTGCTATTGTCCCCGGGGAGGCTGGCCCTGAGCACCAGGTGATTGCTCCTTGGCTGGGGAGCAGGGCCCTTGTTCTCTCGGATCATCTGACACCTGCAGTTCCTCTCCCCGCCCCTCGCTCCTTCCTCATAAAAGCACTTCTGGACCAGCAGCTCCTAGTGGGGAGCCCCAGGCGGTCTGGGAGCACTGGATGCATCCAGCTGCTGCGTCGCCATGACAACAGGAGGTAGAGGTAAGCTGTCTCCATGGCTTCAACTTTGCAGCTGTGGAGGGATCCAGGGCAGAGAAGTTCAGTATGTCTGGGCAGCCTTCCATCTGCTGAGGCTGTCTGATCAGGCAAGGCTGCTGTTCCCTACAGGAACAGCCACGCCGGGAAAGTGTCTTGCATGTGTGTGTGTGTGTGTGTGTGTGTGTGTGTGTGTGGACAGGTGGCTGAGATTGTGGAGGAAGGCTGCCGATTAGTCAGTCTTATTTCTTTCTGAATGGTTCCGAGGCTTGGGATAGCTACATCCTTCTCTGTACTAGGTAACCCCTGTGCTCTGCTTAGTCGCTCAGTCCTGTCCGACCCCCTGGACTGCAGCCCTCCAGGCTTCTCTGTCCATGGGGATTCTCCAGGCAAGTATACTGGAGTGGGTTGCCATGCCCTCCTCCAGGGGGTCTTCCCAACCTAGGGATCGACCCATATTGCAGGCGGATTCTTCATTGTCTGAGCCACCGGGAAGCCCTGGGTTCATGCTAAAACCTCCACGGGGAAGACAGACCTCATCTTGGCCAACACGGAGTGAGTTAACAGGCATGCAGTCGGGCCTGGAGTGGGAGCAGCTCCACCGTGTGTTAGCTCTTATCTGCGGGCTCGACTTTCAGGATTCAGAAAACGAACAGTTTGCTTTCCTGGTGGAATAGGATGTGTGTGTCTGTGTAGACACATGTGTGTGAATGTGTGCCTATGTATACATTCTCATGTAGGATGCGTACGTGTGCTCATGTGAGTATGAGTTACATAAAACCCTGAAGTGTGTGTGGGCACATGTGAGACTAGTGTCAGTATGAGTGTGTACTCATGAGACTGCCTATCCACGGACTTAGGCATATGTGTGTGGGCACGTGCCTCTGTGAGGCAGTGTGAGTGTGGGTATGCATAAGCAATTGTGAGTGTTAAGCAGTGGTGTGTGTATGATCAGATGCACAACGTGTGTCGTGACGGTCTGTGTGCCGATCTCTGTGTTTGAGGAGCTATGCGGGGTGGCCAGGGCACATGTGTGTGTTGTCTGTGTGGGCCTCTGTGGGTGCTTGCGTATGTGTGCAGGTACGCACCTGTGTGCAGTGATACGAGCGTAAACTTACAGTTGTATCTATTACATGTTTTTCAATGAACCTTTGTGTCTCTGCGCGCATGTGTGTGTGCAGCACTGCACACGGCTCATCCTTTGTGTGCATTTGCCTGTTTGCTGTGGTCCGCCTCCGTGTCTCTATGTGTGTGTGTGAGGTTCTGAACGTGTGTGTCTGTGCGTGAGAGAGGGTACATTTGGCTGCGTCTCTGTGGATGTGTGTGTGTCTATGGGTGTGTGCCTGTGTGTTTTGCAGTGTAAACTTAGTCGCCTGTGTGTGTACACGTGTGTTTCTGAGCGTGTGCACCTGTGTGAAGCATTGCATGCCTGGTTGTATCTCTGTGTATAGGTATGTGTTTCCTGGTGTTGCTGTTGGGTCTGTTGGTTGCTGTGTCCATTTGAGTGTGTCTCGGTGTGCCCGCGAGGTGTTTCTGGATCTTGCAGTGTGACATTTGTGCATGTCTCCTGTGTGTGCGTGAGTTTCCGGATGTGTGTACCGAGGATGGGGCCTTGCATCTTTTTGCGTGTCCCTGGGTGTATGATGTGTGTTTCGTGTGTTTGCCTGTCTGTGGGGCAAAGTAACTTCTGTGTGTGCCACCTGTGTATGTGTGTGTTTCTGAGCACATGCATCTGCGCGGGTGTGATGAGGTGTTGGCGGGTGGGGGGGCTGTAAACACTGCTGAGAGTGTCCAAACAGAACACATTTCTGAACCTTTAAAAGCTCCTCTTCTGTCTGCTCTGCACGTCTGCGCTGTGCTCGTGTGTGTACCTTCCGAGTGTTGACTCAGCGATCGCTGGTGCCAGCTCTGAGCAGAGTGTTGGGGTGTCGGATGTTCATTTTCCCGAGTGCCTTTGCTCTGAAGCCGTGTCTTCCTCTGCCCCCCGGCTCCCTCAGCCCCACGACAACCCACGTCTCCGCCGCCAGAAGCCTGCACTTAGGCCAGTCACCGAACAGACTCACAGATGTTCAGAGCGCAGGTATAATTTTAGGCAGAAGGTCTGAACATAGGCAGCCTAGGATGCACTGAACATTTCGACAGCAGTGTTTCTAATTAAGAGCAACTTGTTTTCCTTAAATAAACAAATCAAGTGAGGAAAGAAATTGCCCGAGATTAATGGCTCCCCAGAGCAGGTCCAGATGTTGGGAAGGTGAGGATGGGGGTCCCCACAGACTGCCAGTGTTGCTGCTGGGGTCTTCCAGATTTTGACCAGGAGTTGATGAGGCAGCGGCTGCAGAAGCTGGTGAGGTGAGCAGGCCAGGGCAGCGTGAGAACCCTTTCTAAGGTTGGCCTAGTGTTTGCTTGTTGGGGGAAACACATCACTGGCCCCAATTCCTCCCTGTATCCACGCCCTTAGCCATGAGACGTGGCTGTTCTTCCCACTCAAGAGGCAGGCAGGGTCTGTGCTCCGCATCCTTCACTTTGGGTTTGGCCTTGTGTCTTCCTCTGGCCATTGGTGGAAGTGATGGTGTGTCCTTTCCAAGCCTGGGTGTCCAGGGGCCTTGCATGTTTCTGCCAAGGCTGGGAGAAGGGCTCTACCAAGGTAACTGCCCCCCTCCCCCCAGCCTGGCCCCGGGAACAAACACATGTTGAACAACCCTTAGCCCAGATCTCAGTGAAAAGTCTAGCTCAGCCACACTCCAGCTGGCCACAAACAGGTCAGGTAATTAAATGATTCTATTACATGTTACTGGGGCTTTGTGGTTGTTTGTTACGTACCATTATCATGCTTGTAGCTAACTGATGCAGTTACCAATAGTCTGTATTTTCTGCTCCTGTGGGACTCCTAGTACTCATCCAGAGATGTACCATGTACTTCTCACCATGGATACCCCATTCCTACCTGGATCTCTGCTCATCCCAACATCAGCAGTTTTAATAATAATAATAGTTAATACTTATGGAGCATTTATATACATACTTACCATACTCACAACTACTCTCTGAGATATTTCTGTTTTGACTTCTGTTTTAACCTGTGAGGCTCAGAGAGATGAATTGACAACTCAGGAGAGGCATCACTGGGATTTGCACTCAGATCACCAGATGTCAGAGACCATGCCTTTAACCACGATGTCGTCTTGCCTCCCCAGTGCTAGCAGGCATGTTTGCCATTCTTGGGAAGCAAGCGCACATTTGACCTTCACGTGGGCTCACCTGGAGGTCAGGTAGGCAGGAATGAACCAGGTCACAGGCATGGGAAGTGTCTCTTTGGTTGAGGGGAGATTTGTTCATTCTCTCATTCACGTATTCCTTCTATATTAAAAGTCAGGATTTGCGGATGCTCAGCATTTGCTCAGAGTCTTCTAAGAGTCATCCTTTGTCCCGGTCCCTGAAGATACAGAAATAGCAGACCCCAATTCTGTCCTTGAGGACCTTACAGTTTGGGGAGGAAGCAGGAGACCCTGGGCTCTGGAGGCAGATTAGGACTGGAGTCCAGCCCAGCTTCCCTACTACTATCTGAGCCCCACATTTCTTGAGTCTCAGGTTGAGGACAGAAGCTTCAGTTTACCGCCTTAGGAAATAACAGAAGGAAGGCTTGCGCCTCAGTTTGCTCATCTGTAACATGGCAGTTATAATGACAGTGCCTTCTCCCAGAGTTGTTAGGCATGTTTACTAAGTCAGCTCAGCCCGTCAGCCCTCCCACCCATCCCCTGGGCATTGTGAGAGGGGACTTTGGCCGAGGGTGCAGAGGGCTGGTGACAGAGCTGAGGTTAGAACCTGGGCCTTCTGCATCCTGACCAGTGACAGGTCCGCAGTCTCTTAGATCCCACGCTGCTCTCACATGTGAGTGTATTAGTTTCTTGCTGCTGTAACAAATGACCACAAGGACAGGGACTTAGAACAATGTAAACTTATTCTCATTGCTAGGGATTAAAAATCTAGACGGGCTCAGCAGAGCTCCGTTCCTACTGGACTCTCAAGGGGAGGAACATTTCCATGCCTTTTCTATGGCCTGGAGGCTGCCCACATGCCGAGGCTGGTAGCCCCACGTCACTCTGACCTCCGCCTCCACGGTCATATCTCCACCTCTGACTTCTGAATTCCCTGCTTCCCCTATTAGATGGGCTTCCCTCGTAGCTCAGTCGGTAAAGAATCTGCCTGCAATGCAGGAGACCCGGGTTTGATTCCTGGGTCAGGAAGTTACCCTGGAGAAGGAAATAGCAACCCACTCCAGTGTTTTTGCCTGGAAAATCCCATAGACAGAGGAGCCTGGCAGGCTACAGTCCATGCGGTCTCAAGAGTCGGACACAACTTAGCGGCTAAACCACCACTACCACCTTACTAGATGGCATTGGGCCCCCTCAGATAATCCAAGATAATCCCCCCATCTCAAGATCTTTAACTTACTCGTGTCTGCAAAGCCTCTTTTAGTATGTGGGGTGACGTCACCATAGGTTCAGGGAATTAGGACACGGATATCTTTGGAGAGTAGTTATTTGGCTACCCGGCCTCCCTGATGGCTGAGATGGTAGAGAATCTGCATGGTTCGATCCCTGGGTCAGGAAGATCCCCTGGAGGAGAGCATGGCAACCCACTCCAGCCTTCTTGCCTGGAGAATCCCACGGACAGAGGAGCCTGGCAGGCTACAGTCCACGGGGTCGAAGAGTCAGCCACAACTGAGCAACCAACATTTTCACTTCTTTTTCTTTATCTGGCTACCATGGTGGAAAAAAAGCAAATGAATCATTCCACATTCATTGATTCAACACGTATTTATTGAGTACACAGGGCTTGAGTATTTCCTGGGCGTCTACC